ACGTCGTGCATCACTTGCAAGCTCTCAGGGTCCCAAGGGGGATGCATGGTCGGGCGTTCAGCGAAGGCCAGGAGATGGCCTTAACCGCAGTCTAAGTGGAAGCCTTCCGGGACCATTGGTTGAAGAGGATGAGGGAGAGGAGGAGACAATCCACGGCAGGAAGCGGGCCCCAAGCAAGACGGAAAGCCAGAAGGGTATCGAAGAGGATGAGGATCGGATCGATGCAAGAAATGCCGCAAGTAGACTGGCTACTACAACCTTCTAAGGGTAACTTCGGCTAGGGCTGACCTGAACCACGATGCACCTTGTATACTTTCTCCGAAACAGCCCGCTCAAATTTTCAGGGCAACACTGTGCAGGAGTAGTATTGTTATATAGTTAGCAAAACCATGCAATAGTTACTTATTGGACGCTCATCAGTATTGCCTTCTCACCTATACCCTTCATGTTGAGTGTGTCGTATGCGTTGTCTGCACGAACTCATTTAGGAGGAGCTAGTTGGTCGCGCTTGCTGAAATGCCGTTTATTTATCAACACTCTTAATTGTGTTGAAACCACAAGTCCGACACCATCGTCAACAACACGCAACTATTATTCATCTCCCAACGGAGCAGACTCAGCTATGAATAAAATCGCGAATAAAGCGTCACATACTATATCTATGGTAGATGCATCAAGAAGCGCGACCTCGCCACATGGAGAACAAGTACCTGAGTCTGTACCTACATCGTACTTCACCTCCTAGGGTCAACCTGGGTCGGCAGTGTAGACGGCAGTGGAAGAGTCCAGATCTGTGGATATTCGAGTGCTTCCAGGTGGCAACTGTTAACTAACAGCAACCTTGTATCGTAGTCTGCCAGTTGGGGCATCATTTGATCAGAAAGGTTTCGTGCCAACTAGGGCGGCAATATATGAAGCGTGGCAGTGATAAAAAAAAGGTGGAGTATGACGGGGGTCCGATATTGCGTCAAACCTCACGACTCGCTATCACTCAGGCGCGCCTTGAAGAAGGATACTTGGGGCTTCTAGTAGCTTACTGGGCAGCTGTATAATGAGCTTCTGGAACTCGCGCCTAGGTTACACACGTCAATTTTTCCATGGCTGCTGTTTGAGCGAGGATGCATCCTGCAGCGGCTGGTCGAACTGTGCCTCATCCTGACGTGCAACTCCCCAACTTTTCTTCTGGGCAATATATGATACTAAAACGTATCCCTCGTCTTACAATGACAATGCTCTATTATCACCCCAAGTCGGCAGTCTATATTGATGGAACATACGTTCAGATCCTGAGAGCCGATCCCCCGCATAATTCCACACGTCTGATGCCGGACCAGAAACCCTACATAGTATGCTGTATGTGCAGCGGGAGGCTAGACAGGGGTTTGCAGTATTCATCTGACATTCTAGTCTACACCAAACTCGTTTTCTGGGGAGACAGTAACCTGCAGCATCGTCCAAGGGCCTGCTGACGTGACTGTATCCGCTTTGCTATGCCGCTAGTTGCGTGGGCTGGCAAATTATGCTAATTCACCTGGTAAGATAGCTGGCCTTCTAGGAGCCACCGGGGAAGGATAACCCACTTAGCCCGTGTGAAGGATCAAGCTGGAGGTATTGCCAAGTAGCGGAGTATGCGCAAGAAGCGCGTTCGCGAACATAAGCCCAATCTCATGGTTCAGCCTGCTATGCAGGAGACGACGTGCTACAGAAGAATGCGCCGGGACGCACTGCGGTACCAGTTTGTCGAGACGACCATTTCGATGACCCTGGCAGGGTCTGACTGAAAAGGCCACAATGGCAGTGTGGATCACAAGCAGAATGTACCATCTCGAAGCAGGTGTGGTGGCACACCTTTTCGATCATCCCAGCACTAAGCGAACCCTAGAACCAACTAAAGCTCCGTGCGGCCCTGTCTGCCGGGTAAAGTGGTGAACCCTTCCCAGCTGGTCCGGACAACAGTTGTTTCTCGTCGAGCAACTACGAATCATAACATAGGCTTAGACGAACAAGCATGGCCCATTGCCACGATTGGCGAGGATGAAACCACCAACAGCAGTACCTCCCACGTTATTGCTGATATTTACTGGGGTCCCATATCGAGACCATGTCCTGCCGTCGAGTCCTGGGCGGACGCGATCGGATAGCGCAGCCACTCGTATTCCATGTCCAAAGACCTAAGAATCCATATAGCGTGTGTGCCTCTTAATCTGGTACTGCCCAAGTCTGTTACCAACACGCTCTGCTAACCTCAACCTACCTCGCATCTTCAAACATCTCACAGCACATCAACAACACTTACTTACTACTGTATCTGTATTCCCCAAACATTCTGCGCATACATTGCCCCGCATTCCGACGCTGGTCTCATTTCCCACGGCTGTAGTCTGCGGGTGCCGCGTGGAGTGATTGGGGAGAGAGTGGTGAGTGGACGGACGACATCATGCGGAAGGCATCAAAGTTCTTCAAAAAAGTACTCTCTCCAACTACTGAATCAGCTCCTTCAAAACGTTTCATCGAGAAGGTCCAGGCCGATCGCAAAATGTCCTTCACGTCGTCGAGTGAGGGAGGGGCGGGGATAGGCACCCTACCAGATTTCGATCCCCTCATAGTATCGGCCTTTGAGTTATCGGAGTTGTTGAATGCGCAGGCGATCTCAAGCGTTGAGATTGTGGAACTATATCTCCATCACATCGAGCAGCACAATCGCAGAGGCCGGCAATTACGGGCGTTAATATCCGTTGCACCAAAACATGAATTGCTGAAGATTGCGAAGAAACTTGACGAAGAACGATTAAGGGGAAAGATAAGAGGGCCATTACATGGGATCCCAGTAGTCGTGAAAGACAACATCATGACAGATGAGAAGCTGGGTATGGATACAACTGTTGGTATGTTGACATGGAACCAGCGTGGATGCGTCAAAACTAACCATAGATAAGGCTCCTATGCTTTCGTCGGATGCAAGCCGAAAAGAAATGCTACTATTGTGGACCGATTGATGCGTCGGGGGATGATCATTATTGGCAAAGCCAACCTCACAGAATTCTGTGGCCTCAAGAACCCCTCCATGCCTCCAGGTTGGTCAGCCGTTGGTGGTCAATGTCAGTCTCCATACGTGTCAAGACATATTGCGAAGAGGAAATTGCATTGGGAACTTTCAGCTCCAGGTGGATCATCAACTGGTTCTGCTGTAGCAGTAGCTTCAGGATTTAGTACGCTCGCTATCGGTACCGACACGATAGGTTCGCTCATTACGCCTGCCAATCGCGCAGCTTTGTATGCGCTAAAGCCAACTGTTGGTCAAGTACCGATGGATGGTATATTTAATCTGAGCAAGACTTTTGACTCTGTAGGAGGAATGGTATGTATAATGGCGCTCTTGAGGAAATCCTTTCTAACCCTAAATTCAGGCTAAATCGGCGAAAGATCTCGTAGCCCTTATGGATGCTATGATGGTGCCGAGCAATAGAGAGACTAACGAGGTGGCACCACATAGAGCTTTCAAGATCAAGTCGAATTTCGGCGCCCTCAGAATTGGGTTTGTTGAACCTACCATTTGGAAAACATGGCGTAAAAGCGGGAGGATAAACTCTGACGCCGAGCGGTTCATGGTAAGTTGTCGCCCTGTGGGTTCGGTTCCAGCAAGAGTTTCGTGCGCCAAAGTGGGGTTCCAGTGCATGTCACGGTGCAGGGGTCTATGTTGTGCTGAGATAACATTGCTGACTTGGTCATAGCTCCAGAAGTACGACATGGTAGTGCAGAGTATGATCGAGATGGGTGTAGACATTGTGTACCCGGTTGAGCTCCCTAGCCAAGCTAGCCTTACGATCGATGGACAGAACTGCTTCGAGCCCGTTGTTTGTAAGTATCGTCGGAACTACACTAGGTTTACTCACTAACTCTACATAGATTCTGAGTTCAAAGATTGTCTCACTGAATTTATTCGTGATTTCAAGACAACCAAGATGCACTCGCTGGCCGAGATCATCAACTTTAATATTGAGCATCCTGAGCTTTGCCTACCGCCAGGTATGTCATTACCCTGCACTCTGACTTTCCAGACACTAACGCCGGTTAGCATGCCCTGACCAAAACGATCTCATGGCCGCGCTGCATAGTCCCACCAAACGTGAAGATATCAACGCTGCACGAGCACATCTACAAACGGCTGGCGGGCCAGATGGCCTCGACTACCTCTTCACCAGTCAGCAACTCGACATCATTATCGCGCCAGGTGACGCACCTCTCTCCTCCATAGCAGCGGCAGCTGGCTACCCTACTGCCGCATGCCCCTTATCAGCCCTCAAACTTAACGGACAACCTTTCGGACTAACACTTGCCTCCCGACCACACACTGAACACACACTGCTCCACTTCTTAACCGCTTACGAAGCCATTTTCCCGCCACGCGCACTGCCTCTCCCTCTCTCGTCTGTGCCATTACAAGATGCGAATCCAGCGCCCCTGCCCGATCAGCCCATTATCGATCTCATTTTGCATGAATGGGATACGAGACGGTTTAGCTGCTCTGCAGATGCATTAGCTGATTGGCTTAATGCACGATGGCGCAAGAGTGGATATGAATTAAGCCCAGAGACAGTATGTGAGGTGTTACGTAGTAACGGGCGGATAGCCTTCAGGGGGCTCGGAGATGACGCAGAAGGTGCGTTTGCGAGGTAGAATGATATGCGCCCAAATCATCCAATTTGGTTGGTTCGGATGTCAGACAAATGTATTTTAGCGCGGCATTTTCTTTTTATGGGCGTTGGGGTCGCTGGACTCGGTTCCTGGGTTGGCGCTGGGGGCATATGATATCCACTTTGTTCTGGGTCTAGTATCATGTTCTGACATGACTCATCGTTTTGAAAATTTCTGTTCCATATGGTCTTCACAGCACGTCGCTATGTGTTCAATTTTGCCTTGCTTATTCGCACGTCAATCAGTTCCTTCAGTACACTTTTGGACTACCTGTATCGTCTAATTTTCGACAACCCCATCCAAACAGCTGCTTGGCGCAGCGGAAGCGCGCCGGGCTCATAACCCGGAGGTAAGATATGCTGGCGCTCAAAGTTCGAGTCTTGATACTAACAATTCATAGGACTCTGGATCGAAACCAGAAGCAGCTAATTTTTTATGTTTTAGGTGAATGTGTGTGTGTGTGTGTGTGTGTGTGTGAAGGTGCTTGCTTGAGTTGAGGTTTAGCGAGCTGGAGCGTTGCAAAATGCCATAGTGTGTTTTCAGGAGTGAGATATATCATTTTGGATTTCTTTTTGATCTCAATCTATTGGAATAGGATTGCAGAAATACCTATACCAAGTTGCATAATGGAATGTCGCCATTATCTTGCACGGCCCACCGATGGTGTCATTGGAAGTATCAAAATGAATGCTCGTGTGAAGCTGGTTTGCTGGTTTTTCCAACTCTTACGAGGTAGGCAAGCAAGTAAAATCGGCTTTATGTCATGTCGCCTCTGAGCTATTCTACTGACTGCTCGCCCATAGTTGATGTACTCTGTTATGGCTCCTTCTATCCTTCATAGTAACCACTGTCACCGGCACTAGTGCCTCAGCACGCACGTTCAGTATATACTCGAGCTTGCCCACTAGTTAGATCAATCAGCCTTGTTTACCTTTTTGTACTTGTAATTCGTCGCCTTGTGCCACTGCGGCCGTGACATACTCGTCGTTCATAGGTTCCTCGGCCCACACAGCCCAACATTCTCAACTATCAACTCAAATTCTGTGGAGCTCAGACCAGCCCCTTTGAACTGGCTCTTCCAATACTTGTCTTCTTCAGCCTCTGCTGTCTCCATAGCACTGGCCCTCTTATTCAGCTCCGCTAGATTCTCATCCTGCCAATGCTTCGCCAACATCTTCGGATTCTTTTCATGGCTGAGCTTAATCTGAACGTTCTTCGCAGCTCTATTGGCGGCGTTGAGCGAAGTGTAACACTCTGTACAAGGAAGAGGAGAGTACACACGAGCCGTCGTCTTAGTGTCCTCGGACATTTCAGCATCAGACTCACCAGGCAGCGAAACTAACCTGAATAGTCTCAACACATACACCGTCTTCGCTATAAAGTCCGTGCGTGAAAACGCCCTGATTGTGGCTCCAGAGTAGGCAGAAACATGATCTCGCCTTACCCATATCTTTAACGAGATCGTCGCACTTGGGTCCTCGATTGATGCATATGTACCAACTATTACACTACATCCAGCCTCATCCAGCTTGACATTCCATTCACTGAAAGGCATCTGAAAGAACTGTCGATACTGCTGCCGCGCGTTTTTAAATATCATTGCGGCTTGAGTATTTGCGTCCTCGATATTAGTGAAAGGGCGAGTGATTAGCTCCATTGGTGCGACTTCATCTTCAGACTCGTTCTGCGACCATGTCTTCTGAAAAATGGCGTATTCAAAATATGATTCGGCATCTAGAGGTAGTTTAGGGGTGGTAGTGAGGGCAAATGTTGGGGTCGACGCTTTCTTGAATTGTGTGGACTGTGGCATTGGCTCAGGAACTGGCTCTCCAAGCGTAGTCGATTCATTTTCTCGAGCGATCAACGTTTCGTTTGAAGGTGATTTGGCCTTTACATACGTTGGAGCCGAAGTATCTTGCTGTGGTAGTACTTTCTTTATCTGTTGACTATTTCCAGTATGCGGCACGACATGTGTGGTACCTTGCATAGACTTGTACTTGTTTTCTCCGCCGTTTTGCGACGCATCAAGCGATGGTTTGTGTTTTGGTGTGATGTTTGCTCGTAAGATGTTTACTTCGCTATTTGGCTTGAGAGACGGCACTGGGTTTGGAACAGTGTCTCGCGCTTTAACTGTAATGGAGGCACTGGAGCCCTGAGTTGGATTTAAATTGACCTTTGATCTTGCGGCAGGGTCAGATAATTCAACCGGGGGTGGAGTTTTAGTCTTAGTGAAGGGTGGGATAAGGTTTTGCAATTTCGGCTGTGTTCTCGGGTTTGAAATCTTGGTAGGTGAGGATAAGCCTGCAGTTTTGGTGCGCAGGGCATTTTGTACCTTGGGCTGGGTCAAACCCTGTGCTGCGGTACTCAAGTGAGCATCGGGTAAGCCTGGAGCAGACAGTATTGGTCTCTTTGATGGTGTTCTCTCCTTTTCAAAACTTTCGGTACTGTTGCTAGCTTTTCTCTTTTGACCGGTGTGTGTGCTTTGAAGTCCATCTAACGTTCCGTCTTTACTTGATAATGAGTGATAGGCTGGCTGTGATTTCGGGCTTTGGGGTTGAGCTCTCTGTTTGCTAGGCGCTGGCAGTTCTACAATGCTGTTTGAATTCGCAATTGGAGGCTTATTCATATAGTTGGATTGTTTCGATGAGGATTCAGTCGATCGCCCTGCCACAATGCACTGCCCTTTTTGGAGTGGTCTTTGGACCAAATTTGCACCATGCTGCTCATCGCTCTGCCGAATGCCCTGGAAGAGTCCACTGGGAACTCTGGTACTGCCGGGTGTCTGCTGAATATTCTGCCGACGATTGCTGGTTGCAAAACCGGATGTGGCTTTCTTCATAGCCGTCACTGATTTTGAAATCGTTTTGTTCTCTGTGATAGCTATAGGCTTCTTTGGCGGAGAATGGATTGAGATACTATTAGGTTTACACGAAATATTATCTTGGGGGACTGGCTCTGACGTGTTTGTAGCGATCTTATTTGTCGTAGTCGGCGTAGATCTTGAGGCATTTGTACTTGATGGTCGGCTAGTCAACGAGGCAGCAACCCGAGATCTTTTCGCTGAACTCGTATCTCCTCTACCATATGTTATATGATCTTGTATCTTAGGTTGCGTTGGTGGCGGCTGCACGCGGTTTACCGAACTCCGGACATCATGAGCCAATGCTTGCGCTTGTCTGGAGGCGGTAGAAACACCAACAGTACCGCTCCCTTTCGGCTTATCCGAGGATGAGATGCCTTTTCCCTTTAAGGCTTGGTTTTTCCTGGCGAGCAACATGCGAAGTCGACTTAGATCTACTCCTTTTGATGACGGGGGAGCGAGACTTGGGATAATCTTAGAACCATCTCTGGATAGATTTTTGGCTGGCGATGTAACTGGGACCGAGGCCTCAGCGATTTCCTCTTCTTTGGGTTCTATAGGACATTTCTTCTCGTGCTTTTGAGTCGTGTAAGGACTCCCCTCTGCATCACTATCTTCATCGGAGTCAATGACAAAGCCACCAAACTTCGTGGGTTGGTTTGTATCTGCATTGGAGGTCGTTGGTAATCCACTTCGTTTCGTCATCCTAAACGTCTTTGTTTACGAATTGGCCTGTCAGAGGCAGCTACCGAGATACGAATCCGTTCCGCGTCCTCATGTAAAGGCTCTTCGTTAGAAAGTTACAAAGTCGAGCCTTTGGACATATGTGTGGTCGAATGCTAGGCTCCGATCTCACTGCTCGATTGAGAAGTGTGTGCTGAGGCGAAGGTGCAAACGAAGTGAGAGGCGCTAGTGCGTCTCAAAGTAAGATTATAATGTCCAACCTTGTATTATGCCGACCTTGGTTACTTAGTGGTCAGTTTGACAACCTACATGTAGCGAATGAGAGCCGAGAGTTTCTAGACCTGGTGACCTGGGATGAGACTGGCCTGTGTTCCTAAAGTAGCTGATGCTAGAGCAAAGAATTGATTTTTAGAGCCTTTTAGATAAGGCTTAATACCGCTCATCCAGAACAGAACAGAAAAGACTTTACTCAATCAAGCTTGCCATCTGTGAGACTGAAGTAAGTTGGCTGTTAAACTCACTTTGTACTCTGCACATTTCGTGGCCAATTTAGGGTAAAACAGAGAAAGGACACTACTGCAAACAATTCCGACGAGAGATGTGTGTGTTACCCAAACTTTTGTTAGCCTACTCTAGCCTTTTCGCTACTCTCATAGTATATACCTGGTTCACATATTGTCTATGTTGAGCTACATAGGCTGCTATGCCAGATTAAGATTCCGCTTTACAAAATTGAAAAAATGCTTAAAGTTGCTTCACGTACATTATATGAAGAGACCTGAGGAACAAAACGTGATAGTCAACAGATTCATTCCACAGCTTAGTCAGCCGCGCTAGCTTCAGTCCCCACCATGCAGTATTAGCTCGAATCATTACTTCAAAATTGGCTGTCCAGTACCGTGCATGCAACATGGAAGCAGCATTGGTGTCAGATGCAATGCTAGGAGGCGCTTCAAACCCAGTCATACCAATACCCGAAAGCAATCTGCGAAATCTAGCCCGAAGTGTCCAAACCAGCTTGCCAAATTTTACAGAGAAGGACCCTGCAACCGGTGTCAAGTAAGGGTGCAAAGTCCGTGAACTTCAAGTTGACCAAAGAGAGTAGAACTGATATTTGGTTAGGGAGCTTCATGCTATTCTTGATCCAATTTTGGAAACGGCAAGTTTACCAGATCTTAATCCAGGGCATCGGGCAGCTGCGTCAAACGCATTATGCGCTGTCATTGAATGCTGCCAGGCTTCAACCTCTGAATATGTGCGTATAGAGATCTTAGAAGACTCTGTATGGCTCCGAAGCCTCGAAATCTATCTCCAGAGATCGGATAATGCAAAGGGAAAGTCCATGAGACAGATCCTTCTAGTTTTAGCAAGCGTCGTTACTAAGGACGCAAGCCCACAAGCACTCGCAACTCGCAAACAGGCTGCAACCACCTTCCTGGATATTATATGCGAAAGACAAGATCGCATCAAAGTCAAACCAGCACTACAAGGGTTGGCTCACTTCCTTCACCGTGAAGTAGTCACGATCCCTGAGCTGGTTGATATTTACGACAAACTGTTAATTCGCTCATCGAGCACGCATAGAAGGTTCTCATCTGTAAAAACGCTATTTCAAGCTTTCCTTGCGTGGATTGTTCATCATGATACGTCACTTTCGGCAGGACATCTGGTCAAAAGTTTCCTTTCTCAAGCTCGCAAGCTCCCAAACTACTTTTCTGTGGCAAAAGACGGTTCCATGTGGCCTCTATGGATTGAACCTCTTGTTTGGACACTTCACGACTGGCCAGATCGAATGCAAGAATTTAAAACACACGTTTTTCCACATTGTTTTCTTCCTAACATCGACGAATACATCGTTTTCTTGTCTTACATGAACTTCGGTGC